CTCACGCGCACATCCTTACACACATACGTGCACACGTGCTTGCCGCGCTCGTGAGCAAAGCAGGGCTAGGTATGCTGTTTGAGGGATGCTGCCCAGCACGGCATTGCCAACACGTGGGAGCAAGGAAGGATGTGATGCCCCCTTGTCTGCCTCACGACTGAGTAGGGGCCCACACCTTTGGCATGAGAGGCTGCTTGCGCTTCATGAGGGGATTGAGCCCGCCATACTTCTTGACCAGCAACGCCTCCTGCTCACGCTCAATGTCCACAGCGGACTTGTTCTGCATGATGTGCACGGTGGGCAAACTTCTGTTGCCTGTAGCATTCTGCAGCTGCTGCATCCCAGCAACATGTTTTGAGAGCATTGCTTCTCAGATATTGGGCGAAGCTTCACGCCAGGCCCTGCATGCATCGCACACCCGCTTTCCCGCCGCTTCAGTGCCTGCACTTCTCACGCACCCCACCTCACTCAACACGTTGCCTAGACCGCAGCCTGCAGCCCACCTGTCCCACCTGGTCGGTCATGCTGCTGCAACGCAGGCTTGCGAGGCTGTGCGCAAAAGAATGGCGCGCCACTTGACCGCCAAGCGATCTCAAGTCGAAGCGGGATTTTCAGCACTGCCGAGACGATGATACTGTGGTTTGATTTGAGCAATGAAGATGTGAGCAACGGCACTACGCTTGCGGGCACGGGGTTATCAAATTCGTCAAGTGGCCTGCAGCTGCCTGAGCCGAAGGATTCTTACGGGTCCGTCGATCCGTTTGTCGATGCGACCTGCTGGTTGTGGTCCTCAACATCTGCGCTACAGCTCACGTCTGGCATACGGCGACCTGTCAATTACTCACCTGACGCACGAGTCATCACTTGCTGCAGTGTGCACAGCACTTGCTGCGGTGTGTCTGTGCTTGCATTGCAAGTGTGAGCGTTGCAGCCCAGACGTTGAGTGTGGCGGGCAGGGACACTTCAGACTCTCTTGTTTCCTACAGCCACACTCAGGAAGGTGCCACCCGACGACACCCGGACTGCATTCAGGCCACATGGTGACTCTGCCATACGCGACAGACTTCGTACTCACATTGGCACTTTGCCCATGTGACCCCATAGAGCCCTTGTGCACTACCCATTCTCCGGTTCAGCAAGAGCCCCGCGGAACTGTTGCCGGGATGCCACGACCACGATGGGTCAATACAGCTTCGTCAAGTTTGTAGGGGATAGATGCCCGGAAGCCACAGGGCCCCGTGGCACGTAACTCTTTTGAGGCATGAAGGGACCTGGAGCGGCACCAGGGGCGCATCAACGAGCTGGATTCTGGGTGCCTTGACATTCGCCTTGCCTGGCGGCGGTGTGCGTTTGGGTTGCGGCAACCGAATTGCGACGCTTGCGTGGCGATTGGTTTCCAGCCGGCAATCTGGTGGTGGTTGTGCGGTTGTTGGGCAGCGCAGCCGACCCTTGTCAATTAACTGCGGCACAGCTACATATCACCAAGATGCACCCACCAGTGCGTGTACCTGCCTACTGGTGGATGCAAAGGGCATTTGCGAACCTTCTATGTTCGAGGTGAAGGCGGGCATGCAGGAACCTGCTCAGGCGTGCACAAAGCCAGGCTACTTTGACTGTGCGTCCCAGGGAGACCTCTGACGGATGCAGCAAGTGTTCAGTTGTTGGCGGATGGGTGTAGGAGGTCATTTTGATGACGGTGTTTTGCAAGTGAATGTGCTTGCCACAAGTCTATAAATGTGTGCTTGCCGCATGTCACGCGTCTGCCCCTTATCTATTTGCTGCTTGATTGTCCCTTTGTGGCATACGAAGGTTGCGAGCGGGCAGGTGCGCATGGCTTCTGTGCGAGGTGCATCAGAACTCCAGCGAGCGTGCACAGCAGCTGGGCGGCGAGGGGGTCAGGTGGCATCTTTGGTGTCGGCAAAGGGACGAGCTGGCAGTGATTGTGTGCTGGAGCAGTGTAAATGAGCGCTTCAGGACGGCCATGACATGACGTTCAAATAATATGTTGTGTGATATAGCCTACAGATTACTTCTGATTATGCAAGTAGAGCCAAGCACTTGAGTACTTGGTGACGAGTGGAGACGCTGGCCACCATCGCAGACATTGCCAGTAGCAAGCAGCAGGGCGCACATACTGTAGTGCGCGGGGTATCCCTGCCCTTCCCCGCTCCAGACCTAAGCAACAATATTCAGGTCAATGTGGTGTTGCATTGTGTGGTGTGGGCGACTGACTGGGGTGCAATGTTTGGTGCTAGTTAGCCCCCACTGGTGAATGGTGAGCGCATTTGCAGGACGCATGGATCGGATGCGATGGATGCCCTCTCACGAGCGTTGGGCTGACCCCCACGGCCGGCAATGGTATTGCGATATCATAACGTCTCTGTACCAACGCACCCCCAGAAGTCCGTGTCAAACCTTGACTAGCTTGATCAGCGCGATTTGATAAACGCAGCTTCGCCGTGTCCCTCAGTCCCAGAGTAATCCGACCTCTTTTCGGTATTAGCTTGCGGACAAAAGTGATGATATCCCTCAATTTATAGGTCGATAGCCTCGGATCGTGCCAGAAGGCTAGCCCGCATCGCAACTGATCTGCAGCTGGGCACGGGCGAGGGCCGTTTGTGGGGCCCGCGGAGCCTGATCATAGAACAGGCATTGACGGGAGGTGTCGCTGGGCTCAGCGTAGAGCAGGCCAGGTCGGTTGCGCCACACCGCTGCTGCGGGCGCGCAAGGGGCGCGCGCTTGTGCGCCTCGGATACAGCCGCATGCTGCCGCTGCTGTATGTGTGCGGATGCAGGCGAACTACGGCTGAAGGTGTAATTACGCGCCCCTACACACCCCGCGCAGCCCCCGCGCGGCCCCTCCCAGTGCCCCGCCAGGGCCGCGCGCCCAGCAGCTGCGGGCGCAATGGCAAACAGCACGGAAAAGAGCTGCAGCATGCTGGTGTTCAACGACAAGGCCATAACAGCATCTGAGATCAAGGAGGCCCTGGAGCACGGCGACGCCGAGGCCAAGGCGGTCGCCATGCGGAAGGCCATCACCATGCTGCTGTCGGGGGAGCAGCTGCCGCAGGTGCGCTGATCAATTGTTGGTAGCATTTCGCGTGTGTGCACAGCGGCAACGTACAACGGACCCTGGGGCTAGCAAGTTGCTGTGTTATTAGTTTACTTAGCTGCACGTGCCGGTCCTAATTGTGCCGTTTGCACGCGGTTAGCAGAGTAAATGGCAGTGGCACCCACTGTTGGGGTCCCCCATACCTCTTTCCCCTCAACCACCGCCCCAATCTGTGCCCGCTGCGCCGCAGCTGTTCATCACCATCGTACGCTATGTGCTGCCCTCCGAAGATCACACTGTGCAGAAGCTGCTGCTGCTCTATTTGGTGCGCATGGGGAGAGGGCAGGGGAGGACCTGCTTGTCCGCTCCCCTGCCAACCCTGCAGGAGCAACATCACGGCAGCGGTGGGCGCATTCAATACGCAGGGGTGTGCAGGGGCACAGCGCAAACACGTAGTCTGACTGACTCATGCAGCATGTGGATGTATTGAATAGGCTGCTGCGCCGCGTGCTGGTTGTGTCGCTGTTTGTCCTTGCAGGAGGCGATTGAGAAGACGGACGCATCGGGGAAAGTTCTGCCGGAGATGGTGCGGCAGGGACTATCGAGGGCTGACGGCTATGGACGGGGGTGCCTCTCAGCTGCACGCACGCTGAACTGCACGTCATGCTTCCCTCAAGCGTTTTGCAGGCATGATGCAGTGCTTGTGCAGCAGGCATGTCTCGGTCCACGGCTCGGTCGATGAGGGAGTTATCTTGCAGAGTGCCCCATACCCCACCCCCCCGCTTGTCGTCTCCACACGAACCCCCAAACCGCAGATTCTCATCTGCCAGAACCTGCGCAATAACCTGCAGCACCCTAACGAGTACATCCGCGGCGTTACTCTGCGGTTCCTGTGTCGCATCAAGGTGCCACCTTCACCCGCTCCAGGCAGCCATGCCTGCTGGCCACGTGCAGCAGTGGAACAACGGCACCTCAGTACGAGATGTCATTTGGCACTGGGGGCGGCGAGCGCACTCCCACTGCCGTCCTGCAAGCTGGCCAGCCTCTGTTTTTGCCCTCTCAACTGCCCGTCCGCTTGCCCTGCCGCGCCATTGCCCCAGGAGGAGGAGATTCTGGAGCCGCTGGTGCCCTCCATCCTGGCCAACCTGGAGCACAGGCACAGCTACGTGCGCCGCAACGCGGTGCTGGCCATCAATGCTCTCTACAGGTCGGGCGCGGCGCTTGGGCGGGTGGGGCTGCAGTAGAAGAGTGGCGATGGATGCTGGAGCTTGACGATGCTCAGATCCACAAAGTGCTCAGATCCACACAGTTGGAATCCATTTGTAGTGATACGCTCCATGCCACCCACCCACATGCGCTTAAGGTCAACCCCCTGCATGTTTCACCCTCTTAAGGCTGCCCAAGGGTGAGCTGATGCTGGTGGACGCGCCGGAGCTGATCGAGCGGTTCTTGGGACAGGAGCAGGTGGGGAGGGGTGCATGAGCTACCGCTTCTGGGCACCCGGCAGCCAGGAGGGGAGCAGAGGCATGTGGCAGTTTGTGCCGTGTCACTGGCCTTGATCACTTCGTCATGCTGTGTCACTCCTCTGCCCTGGAGGGTGTATGCCCTCGTGACCTCCTGTGGCCCTGTCTCCTTACCGCGTGCTGACGACACCGCAACGCTCCGCCCCATGCCCCCTGTGTGCCCTGCAGGACCTGTCCGCCAAGCGCAACGCATTCGCAATGCTGACGACCCACGCTGCGGACCGCGCCGTGGCCTACCTGTTCAACCACCTGGACAACCTGCCGCTGTGGGGGGACATCCTGCAGATGGCAGTGCTGGAGCTCATACGCAAGGTTAGCGGTGCTGGCGTGAGCGGGTGCATGTCTGCCCTGCCAGGCACTCGCTTGCGCAGGGCAGCCATACACCGTACCCTGAATGTCAGAAGGGTGCATGCGAAATGCGCTTAGGGCGCCACTGTAGCCGGTGGCCGTGAGTCGCTTCAGGCGCGGCTGCTGCCGGTGTGCGCAGTCTCTCAAAACAAAAATGGCTCGATTTCCCACAAATCTTGATTCATCCCCCCGCCCAGGCGTGTGTGACCCACCCCGAGTCCAAGGGCAAGTACATCAAGATCATCCTAGCCTTGTTGCAGTCGTCATCAACAGCCGTCGTCTATGAGTGCGCCGGCACACTGGTGACGCTTAGCCAGGCCCCCACCGCCATCCGCGCCGCCGCCAACTGCTACTGCCAGCTGCTGGTCAGCCAGAGCGACAACAATGTCAAGCTCATCGTGCTGGTGGGCGTGACGGGGATAGGGGAGAGGAGGCAAAGGGGTGGGTTTGGGGCCGCTCGCCGGGTGCTCCGGGGCTCCACCAGGGATAGCTACTTGTGCTCATTCCAGTGCTAAATCCCACTAACCCATCACAAGATTTCTCTTCTGCATGGATGCTTGCTGCCTTCCGGCCTGGCGCAAGACTTGCAAGCTGCCCCTGTCCTGTCCTGCGACTCCCTCCCCCTCAGGACCGGCTGTCTGAGCTGAAGGAGAAGCACCGCGACGTGATGCGTGACGTGCTGCTGGACATCCTGCGCGCCCTGGCCGCGCCCAACTCTGACATCCGCCGCAAGACCCTGGACCTGGCCCTGGAGCTCATCGACGGCCGGTGAGAGGACGCGAGAGGGGGGGGAGGGGGGTGCTTTGCCTGCCGAGTGCTGGGCTGGTTCAGCCTGAGTGTGGAGCGCGCTGATCTCAATGACACGCGACCTTACTCCTCATCATGGCCTCTCCATCGCTTGTGTCCCCCCCAGCAACATTGACGAGGTGGTGATGGTGCTGAAGAAGGAGATCGTGAAGACGCAGTCCTCCTCCAGCGACGCCTCAGACCGCGGGCCAGAGTACCGCCAGATGCTGGTCGGGGCCATCCACACCTGCGCTGCCAAATTCCCCGACGTAAGAGGGCTGCGCGACGGGTTTCCTGCATGTTGTGCGCTTGCGGGCGCACGCAAGGTGGTTGCATGCTGGGTTTGATTAGGCACAGGGAGGAGTGGAAGCTCAACAGCTCTGTGCACTGGACCGAGTCTCTATGTGCCTTTGGGGCAATCAAGATTTTGCCTTTGATCCCCCTTTCCATGCGTTGCTCTGCCCCAACGCCTCTGTGGGCTGCCCAGGTGGCGTCCAATGTGGTGCACCTGCTGATGGACTTCCTGGGTGACTCGTCGACGTCTGCCGCACTGGACGTGGTCTTCTTTGTGCGCGAGATGTGTGAGACGCACCCCGCCCTGGTGCCCAGCGTCCTGGAGCGGCTGCGCGACAATTTCCCCACCATCAGGTGAGGGCGGGGCGGGGGCGTAGACATGAAC